CTGGCCAATCAGCTAGTAGATAAGTTTCAGTCTAAGGAGGGGGCCCAGGCTGCTCTGAGGGACATTGAGAAGCTCTTGGAAGGGGCTCCGTCTATGCTGAGCTCAGGACTCGACACTGTAACTGCTGAATATGAGGCTGTTATTACACCTCATTTTCAAGTAAGCTAACCGACCCTAATATGTGAAAACAATGTTACAAAACCAAACGTATAATGATTATTGGATTGTTACATTAAAATGAAAACTCCTTTGCCTTACATCTCTTCTCTCTCCCTCTCCCTTTCTTTTTGGCTCTCTGTAGGCCCAGATTGGGAAAACGTTTGAGAAGCACGCAGCAGTACAGCAGATGATCCAGAATCGACAGGCTTGTCTAAGGAAGCTGGCTGATAAACACGTACGACCGGTCCAACTGGTGGCCCCCAGGCCTGAAAACACACCACGATCCAAGTCTCCGCTCTTCTCTCCAAAACATGGTACAGCACAGGCGCACAGATATAAACCAGCTTACTTCGAAAGAAGAATCGTTATAGAAATAGAGCATTTGTCACCCCGTTTATGAACACAAATGATGACTTTTTTTCTTTTTTTATCTCACACTGGATGAAGTATCACTTGTCCTCAATTAAATGCCCAGATTTGCAGCATATGGTATAAGCTCACACTGTTGGCTCTCTTTCTTGTTTCTTTCTTTTAGGCACTGTGATTCATGACATGTAACATTATCAGATACATTCACTGTCTAGCAACTAGGTTTTCCTCAATGGCCGTCAGGTTTAGCACACCCCCCGTTACAAATGAGCTAGAGCAGGGGTCGCAGGTATAATCAGTCCACTGGGAAATGCCTGACCAAGCTATTAGTCATATTGGTTGCTATACAACCATATGTGGTTCATATACATTAAAGAACTTTTCTTCTCCTGCTATGTCTCACGGGAGGCTGCACAAAGCTAACATTATGCAGCGTATCCAACTGACATAGTATGTGTTCTCTGGTGTCTGTGTTTGTGTTTTTTAAGAATGTGCAACTGTAAAAAGATTATTCTCCATTCATGTCTTTAATGTTTTTTTTCTGCATAGCAGGAAACCATACTAATGAGAGAAAGAGCGGGAGTGGTTATGAGCCCGTTAGAGGCTTCTTAGATACTCGGTACACCTTTATCTCTGTATGAAAAGAGATGAATGAAAAAGAGGGTTAGATCTGATCTGATTCATTTTATCTGGTTCAAATATATGTTTCGCCCTCACACATGCGTATACCCACATAACTGATGATAACGCTCAGCTGAGCTTCGACTGTTGTGGGGGGATTCAGCTGGGATCACAAATCCCCCTGCAGGCCTGCTTTAAACCTGTACATGCTGCTTTGGTATCAAACCTTTACAGAAAGCAACTTATCATAATGCAAATTATGATTATAAATCTGTGGATCACAAATCACTTGTGTATTATTTAGTGTCGATGCTTTAATTAGTCATCTCTTCGGTAATAAAGTGTTTTTGAATCCCACTCGTGATGAGTTGTTGCTGATCTTGCTTTCATAGGTGATGGATTGAAGTTCACATTCGATCTTTCTCTGCCTGGGAAAAGAGCATCGAGAAAGGTCCCCAACTCTCGAAAAGTACGTAACAAATAAAAGTTGTGCTTATTTCCTTCCATTTTCACGCCATCTCCAAACTTCGTTTCATTACGTGACTTTTCTTATTTGGCCCAATAAATTGTTAAGTGCATTAAAATTTTGTCTAAACCCAAATGGAAGAGTCAGTGCTGTCCATCTGTGGTGTGCTCAGATAGAGGTGATGCACGACTACCAGGAGAGCCGGAGCTGTGTGTCGTACAGTCTGGATGGAGACGACAGCCCAGATCTCTTGAAGCGGTGAGGAGGAAGCATCCGTCCACCCATCTGTCTGTCATCAGTACTGCTCTTGATGCTGTTTACTTAGCTATTCTCTTTGTTCAGTGCTAATGATGTCCTCTCTCTCTTTCTACTTTTGCATGCTTGTGTATGTTTGTGTCACAGTCATGTAATGAGGGAACTCATAGAAACTGAAAGAATCTACGTGGAAGAGCTGCTGTCAGTGTTACTGGTAAGAAATCAGGATTTCTTTTCATTTAAAGTAAATATGAGATTCTCCTTGTTAAACACTACTAAATGTGTGTACTGTATGTTTACGATCGTTTGAATTCAGATTGAGTCAAATGATTCTTTGTGATTAATAAGTAATGCTGTTTTCATAAACCATATATTTCTTCCGTCATGCTCCTCTAAATAATGCAGGGTTACAGGGCTGAAATGGACAACCCAGCTCTGTCGGGGGTCCTGCCCCCAATACTTCGCAGTAAGAGAGACATTCTCTTTGGAAACATGCCGGAGATTTACAATTTTCACAGCAGGTGAATGATTAAGGACTTATATACCATTTAGACTTGATAAAACATGAAAAAAATAAAGACAAATAATAATGATTAATGAGATCTACACATATATTTGTTCAATTTACAAGTCAAATATGCTGGGATGCAATAATTCTGTTGTGAAAGGCTGTTTTTTAACTATAGTGGTTACTGCAGTGTGAGCTGCGAGCTCATGTTTCAGTTATTGTATAAAGGGTCATTTGTAGGATGGTTTTTCTTAGACCACTTTCTTTGGCTTTTGACTATTCTTCTATCTATTTTTGACTATTGATCTATTTTTTTGATCTTTTGGACTTTTATGGGAATTCAGGGTTTTCCTTCAGGACCTGGAAGGATGCCTGGAGGCTCCTGAAGGTGTGGGAGCGTGTTTTCTGCAGCGGGTGAGATGATGGGGTTTTTGCTGCTTCTTTATATGTTGATCATTTGTCCATAATTTGCAGACATATTTTAAGACACGTTCCTTTTTTCCCGTCCCTTCAGAAAGAAAGCTTCCAAATGTACGAAAGCTACTGTCAGAATAAGCTACGCTCAGAGGCACTGTGGAGACAATTCTCAGATTGCGGCTTCTTTTTGGTTAGTTGACTTTACATCGAGAAATTCTTAAAGTGTTTTGACACAATGTAAAAGATTACTTTGAGTGCCCACTTCATTTATTAGCTCTACACAAGCATACAACATAGACCACTGCCGTTCGAAACAATTTTAATACCGCCAGTTCAGAATAAATGTGTTTTAAATTGTAGTAAGAATTGAAATGCTATGATGTGTCACTGGCAACATTGCACTGATTGATGTTTTTTTTAATCTTCCTTTTGAAGGAGTGTCAAAAAAAGCTGGAGCACAAACTGGGCCTGGATTCCTATCTGTTGAAACCTATCCAGCGCCTCACAAAATACCAGCTGCTGCTGAAGGTTAGAAAGCTAAACCATATTATGCAAATGCATAGAAAGTCAATATATGATTCAAATGTATTTAGAAGTCTATCTGCATGTGAGGTGGGATACTTTCATTTCCACAACATTGGCCTTAAATATGTTCCCCCCCAGATGGTCCAGCACACTTGCTTTATACAAGCTCACACAGAGCTGTCATGTGGGATTATTTTAAATGTGCGCTTCATATATCCTGGCATGCAAATACAGCAAACAGCATCTTAAATGCCAGAGGTGGGACCAAGTCATTGTTTTGCAAGTCTCAAGTAAGTCTCAAGTCTTAATCCTCAAGTCAGAGTCAAGTCTCAAGTCACTGGTGTAAAAGTCCAAGTAAAGTCACAAGTCTGAAACGTTGAATTTCAAGTCCTTTCGAGTCTTTAAAAAAAAAAACGGAAAAAGAATGTTGCAGTTATATGCTAAATGTAAATATTAGACCATGTGATTTTTAAATCTGTGTTTTTCTGAACACATGACAAAATATTGAACTTAGAAAATATACACAAATTGTGAAAACTGCTCCTCTATAAAATGCAGCTCAATTAAACTTAGCTCCAAGAATAATTTTCACCGACGATTCTGAGATAAGCTGCATGTTATTCTTGGATGCGCTTGTAGGACCTGCTTTAAAATCGCATGACAAAAATATAATACACATAAAAAAAACTGTATCACCAACATAGCCTGGACAACGTTTGCTAGTTAGATGAAGTCAGCTATCTCATCATAGCAAAAGAGAAGCACCACCTACCGTTCTTTATGCAACTTCAACTGTCGGACAAAGTCGGAAGTTGTTCCATCTCTGTCTGTGATTCTCTTCTTGCATGTTTTGCATATTGCATTTCGTTTTTTTGTTGACTACTTCATAGTTTATGTACCTGAAAAAAATAACTACTTGCAGCATTTTTGAGCATTTTTTTCTTTTTTTTTAAAAAAATCTGCTTAATTTGATTGGCTGTGCTACAGCTCATGCACTCATACGTACGGAGTGTGGTTTGAATAAATGAATGAATGAATTGAATTAATGGTGACACTTTCTATATAATATGTGTGTTAAATTTTATATTTGGGGTGAAATATCAAGTCTTTTCAAGTAAACCGGTTCAAGTCCAATTCAAGTCCCAGGTCATTGGTGTAAAAGTCCAAGTCAAGTCACAAGTCTTAGAATATTTTTTCAAGTCAAGTCTAAAGTCATAAAATTAATGACTCGAGTCTGACTCGAGTCCAAGTCATGTGACTCAAGTCCACACCTCTGTTAAATGCACTCCTTATAATTAATTTTGTGTTTAGGTATTTGTATAAAAAGATATCTTTGAAAATACCTGCTGTAGCAAATGTGCCAATTTGCTGGCGTTCATTAACTCTTAGTACAGAATCTGCTGAACAGGCTCAGGTCCAACAACACTTACAGTCTTTACCATCCAAATGCACAGCTTTGTGCCATGTTTGTGTGTAAGTTTGCATGCATTTTCTTCTGTGTGTGTATTTACCTACATGTGCTGTGTTTCTGTATTTTCAGGAGCTGATAAAATATAGCACAGACGGTGAGGGCACCTCTGAACTCCAGGGGGCACTAGCAGCCATGCTGGACCTTCTCAAATCAGTCAATGACTCCATGCACCAGATTGCAATCACAGGATATGAGGTGAAGTACATTTTGACTGATAAGAGTGACAATCTATGAATTGCTATATTTATATATTTGCAACAAAGGTTTATGCGTACATCCCCTCCCCTCTACTATACACAGGGTGATATTTGTGAGCTGGGCCGTGTGCTGATGCAGGGATCCTTCAGCGTGTGGATCAGCCATAAAAAGGGCCCCACTCGCATGAAGGAGATGGCTCGTTTCAAGCCAATGCAGCGGCACCTCTTCTTGTACGAGAGAGCTCTACTTTTATGCAAGCGAAGGGAGGAGCATGGAGATGGCTGTGACAAGACCCCTTCATACAGCTTCAAGCATTGTCTCAAGGTTTGTCTAATTTTAAGCAATGCAATAGTTTTCTGGAAGAGTGGCCACTTCTTTTTAAGGTAAATCAGAGCTTTCTTATGGTTTGATGAGTAGAAATTAGAACATTTTGTTTCACCGAAGGGGTCATGAGAAAATGTCAAATTTCAATTAATCTGACAACACAACAGTTTTCCAGAGCTCTAACCTTCAGTGTGTGGATGCCATAGTGAACTGTGTTAACATACAGTTATTTCCTTGACTGAGTCATGCCTGTTTTTAACACGCTGCTGCTTCAGGGCCTAAAGATCGCACACATCTAATATTGATTTTTGGCCTTATCTGGATCTCAGGAGAGATTTTTCCAGATTCCCTGAACCTTTCAATGGTATTATGACCTGTAGATGATCAGATATTCAAACTTTTATGATTTTAAATGAAATGAAAACTTGTTCCATGATTTGTAGATTCAGGTTTTACAGTATGGCGAATATTTGCAT